CTTCATAATTTGGTAGCACTGACCTGGGAAGTTTAAAACAGGCCTTGTATTTCATTTCTCATACTTCTAAATTATCTCTCTTGTTGGTTAGATAAGGAGAGCAGAACTGCATTGTGGGGGAAGTCACGTCCAGTCAAAATCTCCTAGCCATGAGATAAAATAAAGGAAGCTGGGTTTTTTTGAAACAGACACGCAGTGTGTTAAACCGATCTGTTCCCTTTGTTTCAATGGGTTCACAGAGAATAAACCACACAGTTCCACCCACAACAGGAAGTACTAGTGAAAGAGGGTGCTCCCTATATAACAAAGGTACTTTTGATACATGATCCTTCAAACCTACAATACACTTTCTTTGCTTATGTTTGAAATAGTACACTAGCATATCATACTTAATATTTTTGCACAATATATGCACTGAGTGCAAAAAATAAAATATAAATAAATTTTTTTTAATTATACATAGTAAAACAATTTCGAAGTTGTAAATAAAGATTATTGGAGTATGTTTTACAAGAAAAGAAATACAATTTCAGTCTTTCTACATCAAAATGTAATGTTTATTTCAATGTGTTACTTGCTGTTTATTATGAAAGCTTGTTTCTGCCACAGAATAAAGAAAAATGGTTGCTGACTTTTTATTTTTGCAACTTTTTATCTCTCAATTTGTATCTAACATTTTGTAATTTAGATTTTTTTTGTTACATTCTGAGTTTACATCTTGCAATTCTGTTTGTTTTTTGTATTTTATCTCTCAATTCTGATGAGTGTATATATTTCAATTTAGATGTTAATTCTGATTTTTTTTTTCTGGTGGAAACAGCTAATTTTTTGTAATTATTTGTAAAAATTGGTTAACAATTTCTTTAAATGCTAGTGGAAATTGTTTAAAAGTAAATCCATGACCCACAAGCCCCCCCCCCCCCTGCAGAATAGTGCTTTACTACTTTTATACTCGCCAGTGCAAACGCAATAAGCCATTTAATCAAGCCCAATCAATTAAAACAGTACAGACTGAGGTTATAAGCGTGAAATGAATACTTTGCCGCCACACAAAATAAGAGGGGTAAAATGATATTACGCTCCCGCAACAGTGGCATGAAAAATATTAGCTTCCTTGTTGTTTTGATCTTTTGCTGCTTATTTCTTTTTTTGGATTTGAATAAAAAAAATTGTATAACATAAAGGGAAGCTTACTGGAGAAATAATGCTTATTTTTATGCTTTTTTACTAAATAATTCAATGATGTTTTCGAACACCTGTGTCCACTGTGTGCAATTTAATTCCTCGTACCGCCTTCAGCAGCAATGATGGCCTTCTGAAATTTGATAGCGGTTTCTCATATCACTTTGTTGGAATTTTAGCCTCAACAGAACTTCCAGGAACTCCAAGAATGTTCCAGGAACTGCTTGTTTCTGCATCTTGATTGGTTTTGACTAGGCCTTCGTGTGCTTTTTGTTTCATTCTGATCCTTTCTGTGTTGTAAATTATTGACTCGCTGACTCTACTTGGCCTCGGTTTCAGATGCATGATGGGAGATTTTCCTTCAGAACGTGCTGGAACAGAGCGAGCCAGCAAGAGTCAGAAACACATTTCCACACATATGACGCCATCACCACCATGCAGAGTTTTAGTTGATGTTGATGATATGGAATGCAGTGTCGGCTTACAACTATCTGTTTTAGACATGTTGTCCATTTCTGACTCACATGAACATCAAAATTTTGGCAAAAGGTTTGGGGATCATTCAGTTTGTGTTAGTTTAAGCCAAAGTACATTTAAAAGGATAGTTCACCCCAAAATGAAAATTCATCATTTACTCACATTTATGTCATTCTAAACCTGTGTGGCTTTCCTATCCGTGAGATAACAGATGGTTCATTTATTGAAATGATTCAGTTCCTGTGCTGAAGTTTGCATATTTATAAACAAAAGAATATAATAGCACTCAATTTTACACAATAAAATAATATTTAGTCATGGTTAGAAAACACGTATGGGTTTCTTATCTGTGAGAACAAAATAATATTTTGTGATGTTTAGAAAAATGTCTCTCTTTTTTTGGCCCATAAAATGAAAGTCATAATGTTGATTTGGACAAACATGCACAAACACAGTTGACATGAATGTGATACATTTGTCATTTTTGGATTAACTTCTTGAAGACTATAGTCCGTTCAGTTGGAGTACAAAAAGACCAAATGACTGACTTTTTAAAATGAAAGGCTTCCTTTCCAACAGCTGCCGGTTTGAATTTCTCCTTTTTTCTACAAGAGATCTGTCTTCTACTCCAACACTGACAATGATAAAGACATTTTTTGTTTCACATTTGCTTTGTAACTTTTTGATTTTGCTCTAATGACCGTTGAAGAAATTATTTTTTTTCTATTTCCATTTTTTTTTTTTTTTTTATTCTTCATGGATAATTGCACATGGCCACCTTGAAGAAATTCTGCCAGACCAGGAACCCCTGAGAGGATTCACTTCTGTTCCCAATGTTCCTCATTTGGAGAAATCAGCTCTTACTGTGATTCGATGGAGTCCCGGAGCCTAAGAACAGCTTCAAACTGACATTCTGGTTGAAATTTTGGTTTCACCAAATTTACTCAAGATAGTAGTGGCCTGAGATGAGCCGTAGACAGTTGGCTGACCCTCATTATCTCTTCATAATTATTTCTTCACACATTGCCAAAAAATATATATTTTACATGGTCACTTTTCATAGCATTATCAGGTAAAACAGGACGGACAAAACACACACACACACACACACACACACACACACACACGCACACGCACACGCACACGTGCACACACACACACACACACACACACTTTCATTTTATTTCATTTATTTATTGTTACTTTTACTTTAGCTTAAGCACCTTGCAGGCATGAAAAGAAGAAAATAATTAATGCAAATAAATTATATGACACAAATGAGAGCACTTGACTGGCTAGCAATAGCTGTAGACAATGAAAAGTTAATTGGCAGTGAAAGGTTTGTTTATGTAAGAACTTACAGTTGATTTATGTTAGCGCTTCCCGCTGATTGTAGCCATCATGTTAAACGATTGCTTGATACCCTTGAGATTTTTTAAATGCTCTCATGCTTAAACAATTCTGAGCATTTGAGGCACGCTGTTTTATAGTCATAATGGTTACCGGATAGCTACACCAGCTCCATTAACTCCTCTGTGCTGGCTAAGCAGTATTTTTGATGTTTGACACATCTGTCATACTCGCTTTAAATGCGTGCCTCATAAACCTCATGCGCTGTGAGACCATCTACACTTCCTAAATGAAGGAATGTTCCAAAAACATTTTGAGCTTTATTTTCCCCATTATATTTTATGGGGAGGAACGGGATTGTGAACCATAACTTTCTCCAAATGGTTATGGTAATGCTAGCATTAAAATGGCATATATGGGAAATCGGATATCAGAAAGAGACAAGCCTGGGTTTTGGCTGGCACAGTCACCCCTCCAGATGGCACAGTTTGGCATCTCCTGTTATAATGATGGGATGGCCTAGGACTTAAGGGGCAGTGCCAGCTTACTATCCGGTGTATTATTGTAATATTGGTGTATATACTACAAGAACTGTTTACTTCTTAACTGTTAACTTTTTATTGAGCAAGGATGCATTCAATCGATCAAAAGTGACACTAAAGATTTGTTACCAAACATTTCTTTTTCAAATAAATGCTGTTTTTTGGAACTTTTGATTAATCAAAAAAGGCATGTATCACTGTTTCCACAAATATATTAAGCAGCACAATTGTTTTCAACATTGATAATAATAAGTAATGTTTCTTAAGCACCAAATCAACCTATTAGAATGATTTCTGAAGGATCATGTGACACTTAAGACTAGAGTAATGATGCTGAAAATTCAGCTTTGCATCACAGGAATAAAATATATCAAAAGAGGAAAAAGTTATTTTAAATTGCACAAATATTTCACCCTACTACTGTTTTCCTGTATCTGTGATTAAATAAATGCAACATTGGTGAGCATAGGAGACTTCTTTCAAAAACATTAAAAAATCATACAGATGCCAAACCTCTGAACAGTATAGTGTATGTCTTCTGGGCAAGTATAGTCTGGGGAGCTATAAAGAACACTTGTGCATAATTAATCTGAATGAATTAAAGTACATGAATGCTATTTAGAATTTATTCAAATTGTGGGAAGAATAAAGCTGTCGCAATGCTATCTTCATTAGAAGGGCTGGAAGGGTGTAGAAGAAGGTTGATAGTATAATTGGGTCAATGAAACACATGCCAAAAGGTACACACAATACAGTCCTCTGAGAATAGCCCATTGTCATTGAAATATGTAGCTGCAAAGCAGAGCCTTGGGACTGTGAACTAATGTTTCAAACAGGAAGTCTAGAGTCTAACTTTTTGGAAATTGTGTTTGTTATAACAGTGGAAAACTATATTGACAGAGGTTAAAACAAGATTCTCTTATTTAATTTAGATGAATTTCACATGCAATTTAAATGCACAACCTAGTCGATACATTTTTTACTCCATGCAATGAATATTTCTCAGAGCTTTACGTTTAATAATCAGTTTCTGCACATGTATAAAGTCTCTGCTACAAAATAACTATTTCCACTGTTGTTCCCTAGGAAAAAAGATCCAGTCCATTTATGTTTTATCTGTCTATCTATCTATCTATCTATCTATCTATCTATCTATCTATCTATCTATCTATCTATCTATATATGTCACATAATTCATATCTAATATTGATATTTCTGGATATTTTGAATGTGCAAATATGGCATTAGAGTTTACTGTCACTTAAGGAGAAGCTCTATTTTTACTTTATTCTTGTAGAACATGTGAGATCCTCCGTCTTTAGTAGGCTACTTATTCATTTTTTGTCAAGCTAAGCAGTGAAAGTACATCTTCCTTTCCGCAGTAATGATTCTCTATGAGGACTGAGCCTGTATAGCTTCATAAAGCAGTCAGAGTTCACTTACTATTTGCCGCTTCCGGTTTCACTCAGGACCTCAGCGGGCTCGAACTCAGGAGAAACCTATCGAGACTTTTTTCTGTCATCCAGGACTCTGTTCAATCTGTTCAGAGTGCGGGTTGGAATGATTCCTGGACGATTATTCCGTTCATGGACTTAATATTGGTTTACTCAAGACTTTTCTAGCACTTTAAAGAGAAAGAAGATCACCTGTAACTGTTGACCAATGACACCTGTTGTCTCTTCAGCGCTCGCTTTAAGAGAAACTCTGCTGTAAACAAACTACGAGGATATTTGAACGTTTGATGACGCAGTTAAGATGAAAGTGACGGTGAATTTCGGGGAAACGAGGATTGTCGTCCCGTGTAAAGACGGTTGGATGGTGCGGGATTTGATCGGTCAAGCCACTCAAAGATACAAGAAGATTGTTGAACAGGTAACGTGTTGTTTTTAAGTTCGAATTTGATAAGACAGACAGTTAAATAGCAGTTTATAAATTCGATTATTCACTATGGATTGCTTAAACATCGCTAGTTTGAGATATGTGATTGGAATTATTGAAAAAACTACACCTGTTTACCGGGTAACGAATCGTACTATGACGTAGGCCTGGTTCATGAATATTAATTAGACCCTACTTGACGCTGCTTGAGGACTTTCCTACAGCGACGCTCATTAATATTATGTACGCCATGGTGACGTTGCGAGGCTCGTTAATAATAAACGTAAGCCTTCACCATAGTACGATTGGTAAGCGGGTGTGCCCGCATGCTCAGGTCACGTGATCTCGAGCTGTCACCTCTGACATTTTTCAGATTTCTGACTATTGTTTTGAATATTCATTATCTCTAGACATTCCTGCAATCTGATACTGAGGTAAAAGTTTGTCCTGCGCCTCAAAAATGCAAATATGATCTTTAAGACTGCACAATATATGTCTGGGAAATTGGATTCTGAATTGACATCTGTAACCAGTGACTTTCACTTCACTTTTGGTGTGAATTTATTACAGTTTGAAACACACACACACACACACACCAAGCTCAAAATTTCATTTTAATTCGATTTTACTTCCTGTTTCTTTGTAATTATTTCTGAAATGTATAACAATTTCTTATTGAAAATTCTTTTAAAGCTAATTTTGCACCAATTAGTTTTTTTCTGTGCACATAATGTATACTTTTTTATTTCTTTTGAGTTGACCACAACTTAAGAGACCTACTGTAATTATATATATATATATATATATATATATATATATAATATTACAGTAGGTCTCTTAAGTTGTGGTCAACTCAAAAGAAATAAAAAAGTATACATTATGTGCACAGAAAAAAACTAATTGGTGCAAAATTAGCTTTAAAAGAATTTTCAATAAGAAATTGTTATACATTTCAGAAATAATTACAAAGAAACAGGAAGTAAAATCGAATTAAAATGAAATTTTGAAGACCGAAATAGTCATTCTTGTAAAATGTACTCCAGAGATACAACTTCAAAAACAAGAACAAAAAAAAAACTAAAATTTGTTCTAGTAGAGTATTTATTGTATGTTTATGTCTTGTGCATTATTGTTATTTTGTAGTATTTGATTTTATAAGCAACAGCCATTATTGTGAGAATGTAAAAGGTGATGCATTGCATTAATTTTTACATTTTATAGTACACTTATAATGGGTGAAATATTGTTTCTTAATAATAATAATAATAATAAATAATGCAATTTTCAGATCTTCTAAATGCAATACTCAGATCTTCTAATCTCTAATTCTTAATATCATCATTAATTTATACATAAACAAGTCACAACTATATTCCACTATAGAGGGGCTGTTTGATATTGATACATACTTACATTAGTCCTCAGTGAGCACCAGGCCTTTTTAATACTGCAATGCTTGTTCACTATTAACTATTCTAGTCCTTTTGTACAGCTTCGGCACTAAATGCAAGTTGGAATAAAGAGGGGCTTATGTGACGAATACAGCCGTGTCATTAATCGCTCCCTATCTCCAAATGCAGGTGGCAGGCTGTGTTTGATTATTTTGGCCTGGGCTCTTGGGCTGAGATGGCTGGCTTTATGGGAGGTTTTAGTATGCCTGACTGATGGAAGTTATCGGCTGAGATTGGCTCAGTCGGGTGGGATGGGACGGTGCCAGGCGTGCTGGGTTAGATGTGGGTGCTTTATCTATTCTGTCAACCCACCTCTTGGGTCTCGTGCGTCACTGAAGTATTGAGCCCTTCATCTTTGATAGCCATGCATCCGTGATGCAGTTCTCCTTGATTAGACCTTGTGCATATTTGCATAACAAATGGGCAATTTGTGTTGATGTTAGTTTAAAATTTTGAGATGCAAATGCGACTCTGCTACGGATTGATGTTTAATTTTCCATTTACTTTGAGATATGAGCTGTTATTAGTTTATTGTATGGCCAATTTGCAATGATGTCAACAATGAAATTACATTGTTTTATTAATGAAGGCCAGGGTCCCATTTTGGAAATTTGACTGCATTATATATTTGAATAAGTTTCACGGCTGCACAATTACGATTTAAGCTGCACGTTTAGATCTACTCCAGTTCTGTTTACAACATGTTTTTTTTTTTTTGCAGTAGTTGTGCATTGTAACCAGTGATTAGGGTTGGGTACCGAACTCTGTACTTTTAAGGGTACCGACAAAATTGCATCGGTACTACCGATTACCGATTCACGTTAAATCAATCGGTGCCAAATTTCGGTACCTGAGAACGCATCTGGGCAAAGAGAGAAAGAGAAACTCTGTGACGTGGTGTCAACCCTGCAACTCGTTCAAACAACACACAGGGCAAGCTGAAATGTTCTGAAGTGTGGTTACATTTATAGAGCCATATGGTTTCTGCGAAAACGCGGACGGTATCGCGGAGTCCATTCATAAAAAAGTAATTTACTCTATAGCGCGGAATGCCACGGAATTCGTCAATTTTTGGATGAATAAATCAAAAGTAGCCACTGCCACTTAATTCGAATCGCGATATGAACTAGTGTCTGTGAATATTAAAACGCGAAAAGCCGGTTTAAATATGAATCATGCATGTTCCGCTTGCCTCTGTATGTATGAATGGCGGAAACGCGGTTTTGTTTACTACACAAATACTGAAGCACGCGTGATGCTCGAGGTGATTTTCGGCCTCT